GTTTGGTCATAAAACAACCTTTAATTTTAAAATGATCCATTTTGGTGTTTTTTTGTTTTTTTATTTCTGGTGGGACTAGATTGATTGAAATTCGATTTTTCATATTTTTTCTGACGGATTCTGGCCCAAACTAAATGAATCATTTACATCCGATTCAAATCCAAATGAATTTTAACAGCGACCTTTTGATGAGTACAGGTACTTTAATGATAACGCATAACCCGTGATATTTAGTTGTAAAAGTTAGTGGCCTTCCAAACGGTTCTTAGCCATAGTAAGTAAATATACCTATTATTACGGGCATGAATCGAAGGAACCTCCTAAAAATGGGGTTTTATGATACTGAAGAAAACAGTGTGATATAATAAAGAACTGCACTCGTTTGCACTATAGACCTCAGAATAAAGTTAGGTAATAACTTTACAATTAGACCGGCCTTTACATTGTATCAGGGTTATTGACTGTGTGATCAAAATAGCTTGCTTGTCGGACTGTAACATTTACTGTAAATGTTCTACAAACGCATTGACTCAGTAACATAGTACCGTGACGGGCGTAACTTTCACCGAGGTAGTGGTTACATTGCCTTTTTGCGCCACGTATTACTAAAATAGAAGACCCGGCGACTAATAATCTATTAAGTTTTCAGAAATTAGTGTATTGTCGAATCTGTCAGTGAAAGCAACAGTTGGCTGGATAAGGCATAATTTGACCCAACATTTTTCACAGTTCTCAGGCACAGCGTTCAACCGCAGTTAGCGAAAGACGACATTGTGTACTGTCACAATAAAAAAACGTGCTAAAATATATATGTTGCTGTCTAAAACATAATGTTCTAGTAGAAACAAGAGTGCTCGTCATACCCACACTTGCAAACGTTGCATGGTATCTGCTCAGTGGCGGCGACACGTGGGGGCGGTGGGGGCGGTCGCCTCAAAAAATAGGTCGTGGGGGACTCGCCCCACGATAAAATAGGGTGAAACACTTATTTATATTTGTCACTAAAATCCACCGCAACTGTCGGTAGAAATGCACACCGTGCAGCCCTTGTGCGAAAGGTCTTAACACCTTCTGCACTTGAATTTGCTCCCCAAAATGCAGGAAAGCAGCGTTTCAGAGGGTCTAGATTTCATTTTTTTCCAGGAGAGCATGTCTCGCCCCCGAAAGGTTAGTAACGATTTGTCATATGCATATTTTCAATGTCCACATTAAAAAAATCACAATGAGTTTCGATTTTACGATTTGCTGTCACGGCCTCTAGCTTG